TAGATGGCGATGTTCCTTTCCATAGAAAGTCGGACAGAACATGGGAGACGCTTTCGAACAATGCCAAATCAAAGACATGGGTTGCATGCTCTGTGAAGAGTTTGCCGTTTTCCAGTTCTGTTTTGGTTGATTGAGCCATTGGAGCTAGTGTTTAAAGGTTCAGTTCAGTCCGGTTTTTTGCCCCGAAAACGCGCAACCATGGACTGCAACCGGTCCAGGACCGACCCAGATATTGAGGGAACCGAACCGAACCACCTAGGACCGGTCTTTTGCGGTCCATGATACCGGTTCAGACCGATCCAGACCGGTTTTTTTGCGTATAATTTATTATACCAATATAAACCATTTGTATCTCAACCATTATTACTCTGAAAAATAAACGGGTTATATAAAATAGTAAAGCATATAAATACCCGTCATTCTACCAATTTTCAAGAGATTTAATGAAAATTTGACATAGCTATGACTGAAACTGAATTACATCTCATAGAGACTCGGGTAAAATATGGATTTGGTTATATCTTTTAAAGCATATAAATACCCGTCATTCTACCTATTTTCAAGAGATTTAATGAAAATCTGACATAGCTATGACTGAAACCGAATTACATCTCATAGAGACTCGGGTAAAATATGGATTTGGTTATATCTTTCTCAATTCTTAACCGTTTTTGATGAAACAAAAACCCAATAAAAGGCAATAAACGTGGTTACAAGGCTATGTAACGCATGTGACCGTTTAACCGGTTGCAACCGATTAAAACCGGTCTTTGAACGGTTTTGAAAGATTTTCGAAATGAGGCAACCGGCAACCGGACCAACCCCAAATTGGGGCAACTGCAACCGAAAAAAAGACCGGACCATGGTCCGGTTCAGTTCGGTCCACCCGTTTCTTGCGGTCCTATGGACTGAACCTTTAAACACTAATTGGAGCAAGGGACTTGACATGCAACAGAAGGTCAGCTGGCCTTCCCAGTCATCAGTAGCTCGACCCTACCATCCAGCTCTTGGGTGCAGCTTCAGTCTCTTGAGGATATGTCGTAAGTAAAAGAACAACAATGATGAAAGAAATAAGAAAGGAAAGTATGTGTGCACACAACAAAGTCCAGAGCCAAACCTTCAGATTCCACCAAAAGAGCCAAATGAAGAAGTTGCCGATGATGATGTCATACAAGGGCAGCATTTACAGTTAGTTGCCGGTTATTGGATGAAGGGTTAGAGGTTGAACACTCTGACTCAAATGCTGGTTGAAGCTGGTGACCTCCCACCATGCCTCTGAGGCTCTGCCATAGTGCAGGAGCAGATTGCTGGACATTGCTGGGCGGTGACCAACTTCTGCAGCATACTTGATACATGCAGTGGGAGCTGAGTGACTGGCCTGTTCCACAATGATATCCTGCTCCTCATCATCTACCTCTAGTGTTTAAAGGTTCAGTCCATAGGACTGCCAAAAACCAGTGGACTTAACTGAACTAGACCATGGACCGGTCTTTTTTTCAGTTGCAGTTGCCCCAATTTGGGGTTAGTCCAGTTCATTTTGAAAATCTTTTAAAACCATTCAAATACCACTTTTAATCTGTTGCAACCAGTTAAATGGTCACAGGTGTTATGTACCCTTGTAACCATGTTTATTACCTTTTATTGGATTTTTGTTTCATGTGTCAAATATTCATTAAATTTCTTACAAATTTGTAGAATGACCGTGAAATATCCATTGAAATCCCATAGGGATTCATATGAAAATTGCATTGAAATATCCATTGAAAGCGCAATTATGTTCATATGAAGTAGCCTTATGAAATAAGCAGACAATTGAATGGAATGCTCTGCCTATGCCTTATGAGAGAAGGACAGGCAATCTAACAAAAGAAATACATAGACACAACAATGATACATTTCGTTGAACCACTAAGCATTATAAACAATTGCCAGAAGTTAGCTCCAGGCACTTGTCTGGTTTTTATCATAAAAAGTGGTTACCACTGGTGGATCATTGTAGCCATCGGTACTTGGTGTGTGTATTCGTATTTGACAAACAGACACAGACGGCTTGCAAACTGCGGAACAAAAGTAGTATCGTGCACAATGCTAACAGACGTATGCGGGATCAAAACATACTCGACTATGAGTATCAATTCTCTTAGTCTCTGTAACAAACAAAAGGAGGCCTTGCAAGCAGCGGATTTGACATCTCATGTATAACACTATGTGCACTTGTCTCTGTGTCTCTGTGTTCGTCGAAGACGAACAGATGTGGGCAGGGCCAAAATGTACTAGACTATGAATATCTTTAGTCTCTCTTCACGAAGTAATAAATAAAATGGCATCCCATGTACCTTCCACACCAGACAATTGTACTAATGAGTACCATGTGTGTGTGTTTGTCTTTGACGAACAGACACAGACATCTCATGAACGGCGGAATGGACATGTCATCCACAAGACAATGCATGTACCTCTCTCAAGGCCCAGACTCATTTATATGTTCATCAATTTAAGACAAAATTGGAATGAATGCTACTACTACAAGAAGTCCAATGACAAAACAACAAAAAGGCGGCTGAAAGTCAGCTGACCAGGGTGACACCAGCAGTGCTGTCATAAATGTCAGAAAGTGATATTTTCCAGATAGTATAGAACCATACAGAAGGGTTACGGTTTCACCATAATCGTCTTTGCTAACCAAAATTTGGGTGCCCTGATATAAGATGTATTTAATGAAAAATTAGGGCAACATCTAAACTTACATCTGGCATCCTGCTTGAGGATTGAATGGTTGCATACACAATGGGCCTGGTACATAACCAATAGAAAACTCTGGTTCCTTTCTGTGTGTAGTGAGTAGTGGGAATGAAAAATGGTGGTTGACATTGCTTACAGGAAAAGTGTTCATGATGGTGACAAGAGTGGTGGTGAGCAGAAGAGTACTTGATCAATACCAGTATTTATATGGGATTGGAATGGACACCTGAGAAGGAAAGTTATTTTTCATGTAGTAATAGGATTTCACAAAGAATACCAAATGGGCAAGACATGTGCATTCAAACGTGAAGTGGTTGGAGCGATGATAGCAGAAATTAAATGAGGTTCATCAGAAAAGGCAGCATCAACAACAGCACTAGTGGTTCCCTGAAGATGAATGCCTTCTGAATCACTTCAAGATTTCTGAAGTGGATGGGAAATGAATGCAAGGTGATACATGAAGATGGCTTAAAAAACTGGTGGTATTGCACATGTAATTTTAAATGGGAGGACAGAGTTGATTAGGACATTGAGGAGGCTTATGTGACAAACCTAATAGATTCAGTGATCCAAATCCAAGACAAACACCCTGATCGAAGACCTAAGTCCATGGATCGAGGGCTTGATTGACGTAAGGGCATCAGTAGAATATCTGATAGGTAAGCTTGAAGGGTGGTGGTGCTGCAGGGTGGACAACATGTTCCAACGTGTTTTTCAGAGATGTCTGCCATGCATGTTCGTCTATGATGAACAAATACTCACCTAGTCTAACCGTATCCTAGAATGTAAAAATTGAGTCAATAAGATTATGCACAGGCACTTAGGAATGTGCCTAGCCATTCTCTACCATCCTGAATTTATAAAATGTTTGTTCGTCAAAGACGAACATGCATGCACAGTGCCATTGATCAGAAAATCTTAAGTGCGCAGAGACAAGTACACCAAGATTGAATTTTTTTTTGGTCAAGATGTGGCTATTTTTTTTAAAGTATAGAGTTTTCTTTTATCATATGCAGAAGCGAGTGGGTAGTATAAAGCGAAGACATGGCATTATTGAAGGCAACGAGGAAAAGAATATAAAGAAATGCAGGTGCCACAGACATATTGTCTGTCAAAGTCCCCAAAGCTAGCTACCCCCTGTTCAGAACTAATGGTTTCCCATTCTTCTCTATAAACTCTTGTGCAAATTGGTTGAACTTGGCCTTGAACACCATGACATGTGCCCCTTTGCCTTTAATCATGTCCCTCCAGGCTGTCGCATTCAGCATCCAGGCTGTTCCTTTACAGATGTCAGTGAGGCGGTTTTGGTACCAGGACTCGCAAGCCTCTGACCAGTACCCAACATTCAGCTTGCTCTGGTACCATGTATCTTCTTTCGGCCACCAAGAAACATGCTCGACTTGGTTTTGAATGGATGTGTCCACAATGTACACCCCACTGAGGATGAATGCTGCTGCCAGGCTGAGTTGGTCATCAATGAGGAATTCTTGTCGTGACGCCTTAGTGACGACTTGAGTTACCAGCTGTGAAAAAGGGCAGTGTTTCATAGTTTTCCATACAAGCTGATCGCTGGCATCACCAGCATCCTCCAGTGGGAAACACCAGTATAGTCCACCCATTTTTAACGCCACCCGCACATAGAGTCTGCCGTGCTCCTGGACCAGCTTGGATCACTGGGCCTCATAGTGAGCATAGTCCCTTACCTCCGGGATATAACCCCTTGGTCGATGTCCCAAGCCCAGGCACTCCCTTTCACTAGTGACTGGTTCCACCCTCCACACAATGACAGTGTTAAAGGGAATTCCTCACCACAGAAGCTGTCGGCAATTACTTTCGGTGAGAAACAGCAGGAACAATGCCTGAGGACCTATGTCAAAGGAGTGGTACCTACCACTTATATCATAAACCTTAGGCATTTGCCTGCAGAACGATTTGTTTATTGCCCAAGACCTTATGATATGAGATATTTCATTCTGCGCTTTTTTCAGGTGCTATATTTCATTCCTGTTTCATTGCTATTTCATTGTTGGGGAACATGTTCAGGGTCAAGGGCACCCTTCCAAATCAAGACATGTGCATTTTTTCAACTGTAAATAACAGAAACATCAGGAAAATTTGGGGAATGGTGCTCATTGTTGGTGATGATGTTGAGGAATGTTTTCAGGAGCCAGGATGCAATTCCAAATATGGTAATGAGCACTTTTTCAAAATCAAAAATAATAATAAAATGGCAGAAAAATCTGGAAAAATTGGGGGAAGGTGCTGCAGGGCATTCAGTAGTTGCACTATGGAACTATGAAAGTACAATGTGGTCAATTGTTCTATGGCTCATAGGACTAGCCAAATGGGCCCAATGAGCAAGGACACTATGGTGTTGTAGATTGGCCCAAGAATGTAAAAACACTAATGTTTATCATTGGGCTGAATGATTTAAATATGCCCAGGGCATCTGAAGCACAACCCTGAATATCCCCATAAATGTTCCATGCATGTATTCAAATATCAACAGGACCTCCAAAAAATAACCCTGGAATGATTAGTGCTTGGAAGTCAAGTCCCAAGACTGCAAAAGACTGGACCTGCAGTCTTGGTGTTTCAGATTTCAGATCACAAGACTGCAAAAAAACTGGTTAACATGAACTGGTCTTGTTAGTTAAGACTGGTCTTTTGTACCTACATAAAAACCCTTCAAAACACACCTAAGATCATATTTTTAGGCCAAAACTGACAAAGATACATACAAAACTGTAAAATATTTTGTGAAAATAGCAGATGCACCTTAGTATTCTTGTATACACATCAATTCTAAATGAATTTAACATTCTTGCACTCATTTAAAAGCTACAAAGAATGTTAATAAATTTACCAACTCACATTTGCAAAAGGTATAGCATATTTAGTTGAAAAACCAGTTTAGACCAAGACTGGTCCAAGGAATTGTGTAGGCTGGTATTGGTCTCAGTCTTTTCATTTTAGGCCAAAAAACCAGACTGGACCAGACTTTTAAGCACTATGAATGATTTAAATATGGACAGGGCATCTGAACACAACCCTCAATGTACTAACAAATGTTCTGAGAAAATGTAAAATGCTTGGAGCATCAATTTGAATATATACAGAACATCAGAAAAACAACCTTGATAGTGTATAAATGTCCTGAAAAAATGCAAAATCCCTGGAACATTGACTGGGGACATCTGAAAAGCACCCTAGATGTCCCTGACTCTGTATAAGTTATGGGGATGAAGTTGATGACCTTACATATTGCCAGTGCTACAACATTAGTTTTTGACATCATGCACAAGTTGTCTTTCACATTAAGAAAGGCTATTCTATGCCTTCATATTGATAGCTACTGTCCTATCTCAAAACATAGTTATAGGTTCATGTGGATATGGTTTGAAGGATTAAATGACTTTACATATTGCTATTGCCACATCATTAGCTTTTGACATCATACCCAAGATCGCTTTCATATCAGGACAGGCTATTCTCTGCTTTCACAGTTACTGGTCTGTCTGCTTTCACATTTACAGCTACTGGCTTGTCCACATTTCCGGATTTGGAAAGGTGCCCTGGACCCTGAAAATGCTCCCCAACAATGAAATAGCAATGAAACAGCAATGAAATGGGAATGAAATATGCAATGAAACAGCAATGAAATGGGAATGAAATATGCAATGAAATATGCAATGAAACAGCAATGAAATAGCAATGAAACAGGAATGAAATAGTACCTGAAAAAAGCAGAGAATGAAATATCTCATATCATAATGTCTTGGGCAATAAACAAATTGTTCTGCAGGCAAATGCCTAAAGTTTATGATATCAGTGGTAAGCACTAGGCTGGTAAATGCCTCCATGATCAAGGCTTTGGAGAAACAAATCTTATTTAAAAATACATCCTGGGTGTGGTCTGTGATCAGTGAGTAGACGTGGACTGTCTTTGGCTGTGGATGGCAGTAAATATGGCCAATCAACTGATCATCATCTTCTTTTGACCACTGGGGGGTCTGGATCGAAGAAGCGTGAGCTGAGGACATGGAGCACAAGGGAGCAAAGAAGAATAAAGTTGCTCACCACCTTGACGAGATAGTTTGAGCAAGGGCAAGGGAGGTTGAGAGCTACAAGTAGTGTTTTAAAGTCCAGTTAAGTCCAGTTTTTTACCTCAAAACGACGCAACTGGCAACTGCAACCGGTCTAGACTGATCCAGATATTAAGGGACCGCAACCGGACCGCTTTAGACCGGTCCTAATCGGTCTACAACGCGAAAAAGACCGGTCCAGACTGGTTGCAACCGGTCTTTTGTTGTAAAATTTATTACACCACAGAAACTAAATATTACCTCACGTACATAACATACGTAGATAGATATTTTAATCCTCCGTAGACTGATCAAAAATTTAAGCAATTCCGTGAAGATTTGACTGAGCTATGGAAAAGACGGAAAGGATATACATTCAAATTGCATATAAAAATGTTTTTGGCCATATCTCAACCAATTCTTGCCCATTTTTGATGATTGAGGGGCCGAAAATTGAGTAAAAATGTGTGAGAGTAAGGTCAAACACATGGTGGGCTAAACTGGTCTTTTTCGGTTTTTAATATTTACAAAAACATGGCAACTGGCAACTGGACTGACCACAAATGTGGGCAACTGCAACTGGAAAAAGACCGGACCGTGGTTCAGTCCAGTTCAGTCCTATGTATATTTTCAGTCCTGTAGACTGGACCTGCAAACACTAGCTACAAGCCCCACAGTGGACATGATCAGGACACAAAAACCATTGACAGTGGAGTTCTTGAATTGATCAATAATATTTATGCAGTGGGAGCCAGCTATTGACCCATCAAGCCAGAGGGTCTTAATTTCATTGAGTTGTAGTATCTAGGCAGCCAGAATTGAGTGATAATGGGATGGGGAGGAAGTGGGCACTCATATGGCATATTTGCACATAGGCTGATGGGAATTTACAGTAAACTTATCAGGGGCATTGGTACCAGGGCTACTGGTTGGAATGCTCCCAGCAGGCACAAGCTTATCATCCACCACTTTTGGTGGAGGCTGATTGTTGCTTTTTAGGTGATGTTGGAGGATCTCAACAAGGATGTCAAGCTTCTGCGAGGGGTGTTCTTGCCACTCCTCCAAGGTTGATGGGTTCTTCCAAGGATTACCTGGGTTGCAACTTGGGTGGATAAGTGCCTGTCATGTATTCAGGTAAAATTCCTAGAAAGAGGAGAGTGATCCTCAGAAAAGTGCCAAATGGTAGAAATCAGGGCCCACCGAACTGCTGGCAAGTTGTGCAGCCTTGTGGGTGCCATCCCTGATGAGGTCCTGGGCTATTTTTTCCAGGTTTTTCTTTTCATGGGGATATAGTTTAAACTTCAAAATGTGTTCCTGAAAAGGCTCAAGGCCAGAGATCAGGTTTCCTTTACAGTCCACTGACCTGAGTGTCCGGTGAATGGTGGTGCCAGCAAAGGGCACTATGAGCAGGGAGGGAAGGTCAGGGATGTTTCCAGTTGGAGAATCCCAAGTCCTTCCAGCTGGGGGTGGCATTAGTCACACACCGAGCTTTCTGGGGAAAGTCTTATGTATCGCATAAAATTTCCTGTAGTAGCTTAACAGAGGTCTTATCAGTGCCCCCCCTATTCCTGCAGCATTCCGGTCATTCCTGTGGAATTCCGGTGGAATGAAATTTAGCAGTAAGCCCTGCTAAATTTGTCATTCCTGTGTTTTCTCATTCTGGTGGAATATGATCATTCCGGAATTTACACCGGAATGGTCTTCCCCGGAATGGGCAGGAATGGTGTTCCCCGGAGCAGTCAGGAATGTATTATAGTCCAATCTGTTTATTTTATTTATTTGTCACTGTATTATAGTTTATTTATTCTCAATGGATAACAAACAATGTTTGTTTGGCAAAGATGCTCACCAAACATCACTCTCTTCCACCACCACCACCACCACCACCACCATGCTCGTCACCCCCGCCAACACCACGCCATCACCGTCACCCATAGCCACCACCACCCACGTCACTCGTTTATCATCCATGGCCACCACGACCAACAACATCGACCACGCCACCCTTCAACAACAACATGGCAACACCACGTCATGAAACAAGGAGCATCAGAACCCACAAAAACACCCCCCTCCCCGCCCACAAAAACACCCCACACCCATGAAAACGACACCCGGCCCACGAAACAATACCCAGCACCCACGTACACCACCAGCGGAAACGAAACAACGGCCAACGGATGCAAAACAGCACCCGCGGACACGAAAACACCCAACAGACAGAAAACAACAACCAACGGACACATGTACACCGCCCGTGGACGTAACAACACCCAGTAGACACGAATGACACCCACCGCCCACGAATGACACCCACCGCCCACGAACGACATTCAGCACTCACGAACGACACCCAGCACCCGCAAAATGACACCCAGCACCTGCCACAGACGACAACGGGACGACGTGTCCACGCCAACATGTCTACGACACCCACACCACGATGCTACGGACGACGACGACGTGTTCACGCCGACGTGTCTACAATCATGTACACTACACCACCCCTCCCTCTCCCTCCCTCCCCTACTTCCCCTCTCCATCACCCCCTTCCCCTCCCTCCCCTCTCCATCACCTCCATAACTCTCTACCCCTTCCTACCCCTTTCCTTCTCCCTGCCCCTTTCCTTCTCCATAGCCTGCTCCCCTTGTCCTCACCCCCTTTCCTTGTACCTCGCCTTCTTTAAATATACATAGATTGTGTATAGTAGTATATAATAATATATGTTTTATGTCATTTTAAATACATTATAAGTTGGTTTGTTGACTTCAAATTTATTCTGAGTATTAAGTTGGTTATTAAGTCACATGACTTTAGCTGATCAGGACATGTACTGGTAAATTTACATGAGTTCAGAGGAATCCAGTGTAATTCCACAGGATTCCTCTGGAATTCCACTGGAATGACTGAATTCCTGCAGGAATAGGTGGGGCACTGTAAAGTACTGGCTTAACATGGCAATGAAAGCAGCGACTTGGATGGTTTTCCCAAGCCCGACGAGCAAGATGGGCTTCTTCAAAAAGGTGTTCTCGAGCATCTTCAAAACACCCACTAGCTGGTGCCAATGTAAGGATAGGGGGTCACCATTGGAACATTCCTGCAGCCACGCTTCCCCTTCATCAGTCCAAGGATCGTGACAATGTTCAGGGTCCTGCTTCAGGTTGAAGAAAGGAACCATTTTCTCCACCAGGTGACCAAGCTGAGTCCACAGCTCATCACACATACAAGCCTGGTACTCCTCAATGCCTTCACACCAGTCAACATCTGCCACGTGATCCAGCTTGAGGTCATTGTCGATGGACAGGGCATCTTCAGATTCCTTTCGTGGATCAGAGTTAGAGAGTTCCTCATTGAGAGAGAGCTTCAGCAATTGAACTTGGTATGTGGTGGCCAAGAATTTGAGGGCATTGCGGAGAGGCTTGGGCATGACTGTGATAATAATGTGGTGTCTATCAACAGAAAAAAACAAAAAAAGACACTCACTTTTTTCTTTTTTCTTTTTGGTTTCACCCACACCCAACACTGCGAGCATTTCTCAAAGTTGATTCCTTTGTTCAGTCAGTGCTTCCAAAAAGGATTTGTCCCCACGGTGTTCTAGAATGGCTGCGACTGAAGTGAAAAGCTTGAGCCAGGTTTGAAAGTCATCCTGGCTGAGTTTATTAATGCCCTTGCTGGCATCCTCTGTGAGTTCTGAAAAATGGTGGCAAGTCATGGATGTTGTTGCTCAGAACCACAATGGAAATCTTACTTTTCCAACCATCATCCAGCTGGGTACATAGAAGGTCCAACCTAGCCTTCTCCTTCTCTATTTTCTTGGTTTTGGATTGCCAGTATGTGAGGGTGATCTTGTGGATGCAGTCATGGGCTGGGGTTTTTAGGACTTGCCCTTGCCCACCCTGCAGTGCATCCATGCTGAAGAGATTGACGGCTATGGTGCTAAAGGTGAGATGGGTCTGAGCTTGGGTAAAGCTGGGTGGTTTTGGGAGAGAGGGGAACACCCTAACCTTCGTAAGATTCCCATCTTTGAGAGTCATCTAGGATCCACCCCTTTTTCTGAGAGGTAATATAAAATGGTCTGCTGAATAGACCATTTCAGGTATTCTGCCTTGAGCCAGTCCAAGCACAGGTTCTGGCTGACAAAGTTGTTATCATTTGAGACCCTGGCTATGTAGCTTGTTCTTTTCACCAGTGGGAGAGCCCAGAAGTATCTGACAAAGGACCAAATGGCAGCATTGTTGTCTTCAGATTTCCATGTGGCTGGGGTTCCAGAATTCGGCGACAGGGAGAAAATGGGGGCCATGTGACCTGTGCATTTTTGGCAGTCTGGCCAAGAGAAAGGTCCTGTGTTGGTGGCATTGGCATTGGCATTGGGGGGTGAAATGAGAGGATGGGGGTGAGTGGGGAGAGTGATGGCGAAGGCAACCCATCACCATTCAGCAGGTCGCTTTTTCACCTTCTCCACAATCACTGCTTCAAAAAAACTTATACTATGATGCTGTTCACTGGTGCTAAGGAAAGCTGTATGCTAGAGAGGACGAACATATATAATCTGTAACCTTGATAGATATGAAGACACAGGAAGACTAACATACATACCTTGTAGCCTCAATAGATATTGGGTGGGGTCATTGCTTTCACTTTTTGCCTTCAGCACTTTGGTCTTCAAGGCCCAGCAAACCCATCACCACTTTGCACCATTGAATGAGTTATTGTCTCACTCTCTCTCATCCATTCAGGATGGAATTAAGTGAAAGTTGCAAGCCAAAAAAAAAAAAAAAAAGAAAAAGAGCAACTTGGTGGTAGAAATGAGAAAGAGAACAAAAGCAAGACACAAGAGAACAGAAAAGCAGAAAAAGAACAGAAAAGCACAGAAAGTCCACAGAACATCCATAAAACAGAGAAGAAAAAGAAACACACTGTCAGAACACAGGGGGTTTAAAGAAAATCTTGTATCGCTCTCTCCCTATCCATCCAGGATGGAATCAAGTGAAAAAATGTTGGAGGGAAAGGTGTGAGGGGAAAGCTTTAGGAAGGAATCATAAAGGAAGCATAAAAGAGAAGGGGAGAAAAGCAGAAGGGTTGAAAAAAGAAAAGAAAGCAAAAAAAACCAGCAGAAGAAAGAAAGCAGCAGAAAAAACCAAAACCAAAAACAGCCAAGAAGGGGAAAAACAAAACAAAGAATCGAGAACAAAGAAAAAACCTGGTGGTCCACAGGGTGATCCTAGAAGTGCCATAGAAAGGCCATTGAAGGCCATCCAATGAGCACAACCTTGTCCACCTCTGTGTAGTTTTCAAATGTTGTCAATGGCATTGTTGTTCTTTTACTCTTTGGGCATGGAAAAGTCTTGTCTGGGTGAGCTTGAGTAAAATCCAATGACAATTCACATATCCAACTTCCGCCATTTAGCCATAAAGATCTGCTTGAACTCCTTTTGACTATCCTTAGAAGGTGCATACCTTTCAGAAGATAAACTTGTACCTGAAGTCTTTCAGCTTGCATTCACTGCAATGGGCACATCCTTGCTTCCCTCATGGCTGTCGTTGATCTGTAAGCCTTGCCTTAATTCCTGTTTATAACATAATTTTCATTCTTATAGCTTGAGGATTTCATTGTAAATTTCATAATCATTCTCTTTGCTGTATCATTGGTTTATTGTGAATAAGTACATAGATTCAGGGTGCTATAGTTGAAGGAGTGAAAATGGTGGGCATTTTGCCATTGCTGTCACTGTCTGTGTCACCTCTTCAACCATACGTCCCCATGAACATATGTACTCATTCATTAGTGTCCAGTCTCCCAAACTTGAAAGTTTGTAGTCCAATTTTCTGACATATAATTTGTAGTGTTCTTCACTATGAATAAGTACATAGGTTCATGGGACTATCATTGAAGAAGTGAAGAGGATGGAGGATTTGACATTCTAACTCCTTGAACCATATCTCCATGAAGATATATATACTTATACATAGTAAACCAATGATACAGCAATGGCAAAATGACCACCCTTCTCACTCCCCCAACCATAGACCCATGAACCCATATACTCATTCATGATCAAGAACACTGAAAAAACCTATGGATATTGGACAAGTGGCCCATACACAACCTGTAGAGTACCTGTACCAACAACCCCACAGGTTTACCCATCAATACGAGCCCAATAACATCGAAATTGGTTAAAATTGAGGGAGTTCTGCCTGAATTCAACCAGTCATTAGATTTGTAGTCTAGAATTTCTGACATCAAAGCATTCCATGGGTTGTCTGGTCCATGCCATAATTGCATCCAGAATTTTGGACATTGGTTCACTCTATGGGGATTAATATGCTTAAGCTGGCAAGCCATGGTTATTAGCGAAGAGCAAAGCCATTGCCCTTATACTCTATTCAGGATTCAACAAGATTATGCTTCAGAGTAGGACATGCAACCACCTTAGTACCTTTTGCAAACATTCATGCATGACTCCTTTGGCTTCAACACCTTAAGTTGATGGGAGTGAGCTCAGGTCAACCATGGTTAGCAGATAAATCTGGAACTTCCAGTACCTCTCCGTGGCAAATTGCATTGTTGGCGAATATGGATCCCCGTTACTTGGGGTCTGAAGGGATGCCAGTGACAGTGACCTGGCAGGGAGAGTGAGTGGTACTGGTACTAGAACTTGAATGGTTTCATCCATATCAACGGATGGCAGGGGAAGAGTGCCAATGGTGAGGGAAGGGGAAGACCATTGTGGGAATACCCTGTGTTGTGTGTGCTGGCATGGGAAGAGTATTGGTGGTATGGGTGGAGCATTGGTGGTGGGGAAGGAGCATTGATAGTGTGGGAGGAGTGTTGATGGTGTGGGAGGAGTGTCAATGATGTGGATGGAGTGTCGACATGGAGCACTCATGTAACAGTGGACAGAGGGTCGAGCGGAACAGGTTGAGTGTCGAACAGAGCATTTCGGAGTGTTTGGAATGAGTCAATACTAAAGATAGCTTTACCCCACATCAAATATATATATATTTCTATTTTACAGTATTTCATTATAAGTTCCACCAATTCTTGATGGATTTGGACAAAAGGGGGTTCATTGTAATCACACAAATGGGGGCTACAAAATGAGCCTGAGAACAAGAAGATTGGGATTGAGGGGGTGTGTCAAAGGAGGTTTTCTGTGTCATATACTTCTTGGAAAAATAAACCTTGCTAAGGAGACTGTGTAACACAGCCAATACCAAGGCTTCCAACCAGGTCTGACAAACCATCCATCTGCCTAATATTGAATAGAAACATCTGATTTTCATGCTTGTTGGCAAGGCAGTAGGATTGAACAAGTGCCCAGACAAATTTAAGTTCCACCAGTGCATAGGCAGTGGCCAACTTTGGCTCTGTGAGTGGGGAGAATGCACAGCAGGAGAGTCGAGTCTCTGTGAAGCTTTATAAGTACATGCAAACTGATATAGTGTAATGAAGCACTCACAGTGTGCATTTTGTCATCAAATGTAACACTGATGGGTCAACCTTTTGGTCCACAAGCAGTTTGATATCCTCTCTCCACCTTGGATCATCTTGGTCTGGCATGTACACCTCATGGAGAGCTTTCCTATTAAAATCCTGGAGGAATTGGTCAGTCCCAGATGTAACAAAACTGGAAGCACAGTTTTGATGTCAAAATCTGGAACAATGTCGAAGGATTCCATGACAGGGGATTTTGTCTGCTGGAGGAGCTCCAGTGCATCTGCAATATCCAAGTCAGCGAAGTTGATGGCTTTTTTACCTTCCTCCTTGTTGCCCAGTGAAACAGTTTGCTTCTCTGGTGGTACTGGGAAATAACAAGGGAATGTTTCAGACAACATCTGGGTGGAAACTTTGGTTGAATCATAGGTAGCAGATTTGCCATGGGATGACTTCATATGGGCTTTAATGGACAGGAAAGTCACACCAACATAATCACAAAATTTGCACTTCTGAACTCTCGAAAATACTTGAAGGCCTAATATTTGAGGGTGAGGTCCACCACCTTTGATGGTTGGTAGAGGGATGGAATCCCAGGAAGGTGATGATGTATCTTGATTACAATGGGATTGAGCACACAGTTTTCAGCAACAAGAGAGTTGACAATTGTCTTCCTAAACTTTGCAAGTGATCAAATCGCTTGGGATGGTTTTCAAGCACAACACTCGCACTTGCCCAGTGAAGCAGACTGTAATTCCAGTGTGTCCGCTTTGCTCCCATAGCCCTCAGGTGAGTGTGCATTGTCTTGATACCTGCACCTTCACCACAGGAAATGCAAATGAGAAGGCAGTAGAGCATATTGTATGTTTTTGACTTGGGTGCTCCAAGACCTTCTCAGTAGATTATTCAGGTGGAATAGCCATTGGTTCAGGCTTTTTATCCTTTAAGACAGGCTTAAGCACTGCCAGAGATTCAATCTCCAAGCTGTCAAATGCTTTGAATTGGGGTGTAAGTGGTTTCTTGTCCTTGTGTACCCTTTTGAAGTGGGCCTCCATTACTCGCCATGACAGGCAATTGAAACTGCATGCAGAATAGTAGCATGTTAAGTTGCCAATTGGCGTCGGCCTTTCACAAACACCCAGTTTTGTTCCTTTAGCTCCTAGTCAGCTGGTTTCACAGTGATATGAAGTTCATACCTTTAACTCTGTGAAGCACTGTGACATTTTTTGAATGCTCCTGTTGCATGTGCAATCTCACAGCTTTCTGTCCTGCTGTGGTTTGGGGGAATGGTCTCAGGCAGAAGGGCAGGATACTTTGGGTTTTTTGCCTTTAGGAGAAGTGTAGTTGGATGAAGAAGGCTCAGCCACCACCGCAAGGGGAGGGGGTTTTAGTGCTGAGACTGACTGCCCTGATGGTAAATGTGGGGGTAGTGATATTGGACCTGTACGTGAGGGAGACATACTTGGATCGTACATTGAGCTGGAGTCAGAGTCCTCATCTGAGGAGTTGGCATTGATTTGAGAAGAGTCATCAACATCTTGAGAAGAGTCATCATCATCCTGAGAAGCATTGTTGTTATGTTGTGAAGGGGTACTGGCATCAGAGTAAGGTCCAGAAAAAAGAGGTGAGGCCTCATCTTGTTCTAAGGCAGAGGGTAGAGAAGGGGTACTGGCATCGGAGTAAGGTCCAGAAAAAAGAGGCAAGGCCTCATCTTGTTCTAAGGCAGAAGGTAGATTTGGCAATTGGACTGACAATCCAGGCACTACATTTCCTGGAAAAATTGGCAATGGACCCCGCCTTAATTTGGACAGGTTTGGATCAGGCATTGAATCAGACTTGTTGGATGAATCAAAAGGAGGTGATGGTACTGCCATCAATCAATCTATTTGAAAGTCCACAATGTTGTGTTTCGGCTGTTGGGGCCTATTTTCAACTCCATCCATGTTTTGTTTCATTGTGATTCTAATTAAATTTACAACAACATGGGGGCCATGTTTCTACTCATGAGTGCAGAGGGAAATCAACCAGAAGATGGCTCCGACTTGCCACTGCATGGCAGGTCAGTTGTGTGGGCAGATGGGGTATAAAATTGCTGAAAAAAAGGGAGAAATGGGCACTGCATATGAAGCAATTACGGATACAATTTCACCTGCACCCACATTGCCAGAAGGTGAGCCTTTAGGATTTTGCTGCCTGGCTTTGTTGCCTCATTCATCCAAGAAATAAATGCCCATTCATCCATGTTCTGATTCAAGTTGAAGGTGGCCAGGATTATGTCTCTGGAATGCCACACTGCCCACAAGGAGAATTTCAGCAGACAAATAAAGTCCCAATCAGGATGGCAAGGTGGGGGGTCTGTGGATGGATTGGAGCTTTCTGAGGAATTTTGTCAGAGGTGGTTCAGCTTAGTGAAGAAGAAGGGGCACAAACAGCTGGTAGACAGCATGAGTTGTCTGATGATAGAGGGACAGTGCTGAATGTCAGGAAGATCTCATCATACTGCTAATAAGCTGCTTACTGGAACTCTGGCAGGTAGTGAGTGTTGGAGCTTATTGTCCAGCATGCACTGCATAGCCAATATGCAGGTGCTTTCTTTAATGGGTCACTGTTGGTACAGGGAATGGTCAGTCTCTAAATTCAATATCCAAAAGCTGGTTCCATAGACTCACCATACCAGCCTGCACCAATAGGCTCTGGCAGCTGTCACAGAGGGCAGCTGTACCATCTTCACTGCAAGTCTTCATATTTGGGGAAAAAAGTGATGATTGCCTGCAGTGGTCTGTTACCCTCAGGTAATCAGCCATCTCTTTCACCCCTGAACCATTGATGCCATGGGAAGGCAATCTCCCTCAGATGCCGAAATGTGGTGATGTATGCAGATTGGTGAGTTCTTTCTGCTTTCCCAGATTCACACAAGAACCTGAAGACATTTTGAGGTGCTGAGTAGTGAATCACCAATTTCAAATTGACATCCTCATAGCTGTCCACACTCATGCTGCTGACCATTGCCACTGTGCCAGGATTTCACCACAGATTCCCTAGCATCCTCCTTCCCATCTGAGGCATGGAAGCGCACCTGCAAATTCATTGGCAACCCCCTCAGAAGAGCAAATAGTGCTTGGAAGTCCAGTCCCAAGACTGCAAAAAGACTGCAACTGGACTGGACCAAGACTGCAAAAGACTGGACCTGAAGTCTTGGTCTTTCAGATTTGAGATCACAAGACTGCAAAAAGACCAGTTAACAAGCTGGGTCTTTGTCCTCCAGCTTGACTTTCACCTCATCAGGACCCATTTTCAGAAAGGTGTCCACAAACATCATGGCTGCACTCATTGACTCCTGATCTTATTAGAATGCTGGTAGGAAATCAAAACGAGGACATCTCACCAGCTCTTGGATTACATCCGATTGGGTTGTCAACTGATGGAGGTGGTGGTACCTTCAACTGCATCATTTGTTAAGTCTCTCTACTGCAAAATGCATGTCTGTTGGTGGCACCCTCAAAGATAGTGTTTGCAAGTTCAGTTCAGTCCGGTTTTTTGCCCCCAAAACGCGCAACCGTGGACCGCAACCGGTCTAGGACCGACCCAGATATTGAGGGAACCAAACCAAACCACCTAAGACCGGTCTTTTGCAGTCTATGGAGCCAGTTCAGACCGATCCAGACCGGTTTTTTTGCGTATAATTTATTATACCAATATAAACCATTTATATCTCAACTATTATTGCTCTGAAAAATAGACGGCTTATATAAAATAGTAAAGCATGTAAATATCCGTCATTCTACCAATTTGTAAGAGATTTAATGAAGATTTGACATAGCTATGACTGAAACCGAATTACATCTCCTAGAGACTCGGGTAAAATATGGATTTGGTTATATCTTTCTCAATTCTTAACCATTTTGGATGAAACAAAAATCCAATAAAAGGTAATAAACGTGGTTACAAGGGTATGTAACGCACGTGACTGTTTAACCGGTTGCAACCGATCAAAACCGGTCTTTGAACGGTTTTAAAAGATTTTCAAAATGAGGCAACCGGCAACCGGACCAACCCCAAATTGGGGCAACTGCAACTGAAAAAAAGACTGAACGATGGTCCGGTTCAGTTTGGTCCACCGGTTTTTTGCAGTCCTATGGACTGAACCTTTAAACACTACTCAAAGACATGGAAGGGAACACAACTATTCAAATATGCCTGGGCTTTGTCAGACAAAATGGGGTTAAGGACATCACTATTGGCCATGTCATCCCCTAATGACTTGTTCACCAACAGTGGCCCTTCCATATATCCTAAAAGCAGCCCTACCCCTGAAATGCTGCAGGTTGAGGAAATTATTTACCACTAGGAAACAATTTTACCACTGAAACTGGGATAATATTTTCAAAGATCACAATGAAGGAAGTTTTTCTAGCAGAGAGTTTAATAGCTGATTCTCACATTTTGAAAATGACACACCCAGAAGTAGAGACATAGGGAAAGTATAATGTTTTGCTGTGTGGCTGCATGGCCATTTTTCACCAAAATTGAACATAATAATTGAGGTAATGAACTACAAGAAGCACAGACAAGGCAGCTTTATTAGCAAAACATTGACTGGCTGCTTTTCATCTTTTCAAATGAGCACACCCAGAGTGAGGGACATTCAGAGTGTTACAATGTAAAGGACAAAGGCAATTTGACCAAATAAGGAGATTATTTGTCAGCTTATCTCCTAATATAGTAGAATGGTCCTAGTGGAGGAAAAGAATCTTACTATGTGTTACCAAATAAGGCAAATTTCCTTTTTAATGCATACACATGTAGCACATCCCCACTAAATGTGAATTTCTTGGTTTCAATTTAGTGTTTTCCACCATTCCCTGACAAAATAGCCTTGGGTGCATGACTCATGTAACCAACTTGAAAACACTCGTGCTGCCTCTTGCGATGTATCCATATGTCTCAAATGTTTTCCTGGTTCCATCCTCTGCACATCTTTCCAAACACATCGTTGAGTGGCCACAAACACCTCTTTCTCCTTGCTCAACAAATCAATTCCTGCTTCAATTTCCTTTGTGGTGCATGCAGATTCTGCTTCACTGTGTACATGTACCATGAGTGGATGCTTGAACATAAAGTATTTGTAAAACTCTCAAAACCTCATTTCTTTTACTTTTTTCTACATGGAGCAGGGCATGATCCAGATCTCATATTCATGTCAAAGATGTATATAGAACATTTGTATATTACCTATTACCATATATATATGGTAACTATTCCCTGGAACTTGGAGAGGATATAGAATTATTTGTGTGGTGCAAGGCTTTTGTATAGTCACTGTAAATCCTGTCATGCTGATCAGTTCAACAATGCACCAACAATATGCCTATGTTTTGTCCATGAGCATTCTCTCCCTGCTCCTCTCAAACTGCTTGAGACTGGAAGGGAGTTGACAAGTCACAGAAACCTATAAGTCTGTAAGTGATTTTCACCCCTATGTTGTGTATTTGACGCTATGGCCTCTATCTTTATCAGGGCAACAACTCAGCCACCAATGCATATTGGGTGCTGCCATCACTACACAGTGTGCTCTTCTTGAGATTCACTCAGCAGATGGCTTCTGTGAAATGTATGCAGGGTATTCAAGAATTGGCTAGAATTGGCTGATATTCTGGTAAGATGCCTCAATACACCAGATTGTTGCTGATGTTCTTAATTAAAAGGCCAAGACCTCATTTCTTTATCATATGGCACTCCAAAGAGCCTCAAATGGTTCTCTTAGTTATCAGGGGGTCTCTAGGATGTATTACATAATGTCATTCCCAGGTGTGCGCAGTTTGGTCCACCGGTGTTTTGCGGTCCTATGGACTGAACCTTTAAACACTAGCTGCGAGCTCCAAAGCCTTGGTCCTAAGTTCAGACTCGATGCATATGCACTTTTAGTCTACTGAACCAGGTATGTTCAAAGACTCTTTATATCATTACAACTGTATGTAGTGTACTTACAGAGAAGACTGTTTAATGGTAAAATCCCGAAAATTGGATTTTTTACCAATGAATACATTTCACCTGTCTCACCATTGTGGCTGTCATCCATTGTGGTTGTCTCTGGACTTGAGGTTTGCGAAATGAGTGGGTTTGGGGAGTTTGTTGAGCACGAAATGATGGGCGCTGGGTGCTGTTGGTGGAAAGGACACGAAAGGGGAGTGGAAGAGTATGTGGCAGAGCACATGGATGCGATGTGTTGAGTCTTGCTGAGGGATGTTTGGGCAGAAAGGCGAATGGTGCTGTGGGCGCTGTTAGCAGAATGAGTGGGTTTGAGGTGTTGGTTGGGCACGAAACGACAGGTGGTGGGTGCTGTTGGTGAAAAGGATGGGAAAGGGGAGTGGAAGGGTATGTGGCAGGGCATGCGGATGCATTGAGTCTTGCTGGGGGATGTTTGGGCAGAAAGGCGAACAGCACTGTAGGCGCTGTTTGCAAGGTAAGTGAGTTTGAGGTGCTGGTTGGGCATGAAACGACAGGCAGTGGGCACCGTTGGTGAAAAGGATGGGAAAGGGGAGTGGAAGAGGGTGTGGGTGCAGTACATGGGTGTGTAGGGTCTGCAGGTGTGTGGTTGTTGCAAAATGAGTGGGGTTGGAAAGTTTCTGAGGTGCAAAACAACAGGCACTGGGCGCTGTTGCTGAAAAAGGCAGAAATGGGAGTGGAAGGGTGTGTGGGTGCCATACACAGATGGGTGTTGGGTGTCGTTGGTGAAATGGGAAATGGGAGTGGGAGGGTGCATGGGTGCCGTTTGCAGATGGGTGTTGGGTGCCGTTGGTGTAGAGGGTGGGGAACGGGGTGTGTGGGTGTTGTACATGAACCGGTGATGGGTTGTCGTGCTGCTGGATGGTCAGTAACTGCCAAAAACAAGGTGGAGACATGCACCGTGGGCCACCAGGTTTCAAACCTGCTCTTGACATTGTTAGTGGGCAGTGAGACAGAAATGAGGGGAGGTGACTTACCTGTGGGACCCACAGACATTGTTCGATACCGAACGACGTGCTAGGTGATGTCAAGAGGGTGAGGCACAGAGGGTGGTGATGGGGGGAGAAGAGGAAGGGTGGGAAGAAATTGTGTCAGTGACAGACTCATCAAACAATGTGACTATTTGGGAATGCTCACCTGGCAAGCTGAACAAAATGAAAAAACCCCATGATCAGGACTGTGCAGCACTACAATCTTTATGACTACTAACCACAGCATGTATACTCTACTATGCACTTGTCTAAATGACTACTATTTAGTTTCTTTTTCATTAATAATACTAGTAACAAGCTCTGCTTGCTTGCAATCTCTTGGACATCTGTTGGACTTTCGTTGGCCACATCCATCGGAATTCCGTTGGACTTCCATTGGTTGTGTCCATTGGAATTCCATCGGTCTTGGTCATTTCCAGTGGACTATAGCTAATTGGTTTGCTGTTAGTCCATTGGTAGTCCACTGGAAAAGTCTGTTGGACTGAAAGGTCTGACCAAAAATGCCTGGAAAAGCATCAGAAAATCCTCCTCAGAAAAGCAGTGGCAGCATAAAGACCTCTGTCTATCTGAGCCTATATTTTATCTATTTCTTTCCTCCCATGCACCTATTTCTTTGCTTCTAGGCCAATGTTTCAGATATTTCTTTCCTCCCAGGCATCCATTTCTTTGCTTCTCTGGGCCAATGTTTTAGATATGTCTTTTCTCCCATCCACCTATTTCTTTGCTTCCCTAGGCTGGTGGTTTAGCTATTTCTTTCCCTCCCAGCCATATATTTTCTTTCTTGCCTAGGCCAATGTTTTATCCATCTCTCTCCTCCCATCCACCTATTTCTTTGCTTTTCTAGGCCAATGTTTTAGATATTTCTTTCCTCCCATGCATCCATTTCTTTGCTTCCCTTATTTCTTTGCCTCCCAGGCTAAATTTATTTATTTATCCAGCTCTGTTTTATCTATGAGATTGTCCCACACCCATATTTTATTGCCTGCCGGATTTATGTTTTTATCTATTTCATTGGCCCCAGCCTATATTTCATTGCCTGCCTGGTAAATATTGCCTCAGGGTCCAGGGTGCATTTCCAAATATGGTGTATAATGTTAGGTACTGCTTTCAGGCAGAATTATCATGTTTATGTTTTGGATCAGAAGCAGTGGTCCATCATGGGGCGTTATAATGTTGTAGTTGAGGATGACGAGGATGTTGTTTGGGAGGAAGATGAGATGGGTAAGGTGACTCATATTCTCTTGGTAAGTTTTAGTGGTTGTGCTCTCTTTGAGTTTGGTTTCAATTATGTCTAGGAAAACGATCGTGACCCAATGGTTGCCTCAGCAATTCCTCCTTCATTCCATCAGTGTTCTGTTTCTTTGGGTTCTTGTTCAGGATCTGTCCCTTGTTCTTTGTCAGTTCCTTCTGAGTCTCATGGACAGTCTCTTGCTTCGTCTGTTAGTACATCTGAGGTGACAGGTCCTTCAAGGCTTTCAAAACAAAGCAAAGCTCTTCTCTTAGACTATCTTGGGATTGACACAGAACTTCCCTCTCTAGAACCATCTGGGTTACACTCTGCTTACCAGAAGTTCAAGGCCATCACAAATGCTACCCCTAAGGTGATGGCCTTTGAGAAGACCGTGACACGCAGGAGTGAGGAAAGTGCAATCTGACGTGCTGACAAGATGCATGAACACCTAAACAACACACACACACACACACACACTAACACCTTAAACACTTATCACCACAGGTACATGCTTGGTGCTTTGAGTTCGGGTTTGTACAGTAAATAGAATTACCACACTTGTTTTGTTAGAACTTAAGTACAATTATTTCACTCGATTTAAGGAGTGAATGTTAAGTTTGATAAAATGCGCCCATCACCGGACTCTGTTTTCCTGTGAGAAATCACTTTTCCCTGAGCCAAGTCTCTTGCCCAACACTTCCCTGACACATCACTCAGGTACGCATGTTTCTTGCTTCCATGTCCAGAGCGTATCACCCTACAAAATCTTCCCTTTGGACCGTCCAATGGATCAATCGACATGTTGTACTTTCAAGAAACAGAAGTACTCATACGATTTCGATTCTGACATGTCTTTCTTCACCTCAGCTGCATCTTGTTCTGCTTGCCTTCCGCGCCTGTATGCAAACGAAGCAAACCTTCGATATCAACGACTTCCTTTCATCAGACCTTGAGCTTTCCTTCGCATCCAATGTCTCGCTTGATTCTCTTCCTCGGAAAGGCCTCGATTTGATGCCCAACTGAACCTATGGACATCTCTCCAGCGCCACCTCCAAAGAACACCCTTTCCAAGTTGTCTGCCAATGGCAGCTCAAAATTGCAGTCATGTACGGTTTGTTTGGTAGCAAGATTAGTTGCTACAATTGCCAGTCACTGCCCCAACCTCGCTGCTGTTTCCTCATCGAAGTCAGCCGTTTCTACACATTTGGGTCCAAAGAGGATGCGACCTTCAGAGCTTCCGACAGAATGATTTTCAGCAGCGGAACGAGCTCAGTTTCTAGTCTTGACTCTTGTTTCAAATATGTTGTGGCCATACTGACACACCTTCTACCAGTGTTTTCTTCCTGTCGATACCTTCTATGTTATTGACACAGCATGCAACCTGTTCCACAATCAGCGGCCCCCACTGTAACCACTTTGACACGCTTTTCTACAATACAATGTCTCCTCGTTCCTTTGAGTTGCCTGTTGGACCGCAACGCAAACAGCGTCGACCTGATTCAGGACATCTTCCCGTCCAAGAGCCTCCTCCAACCAGTTCTCTGAAGCGGCCCTGCAGGTCTAGTTCCCAATGGCTTTGCTGTCTGATCTCTGTGTCACGATCTTGTCATCCTCCACCAGCTCTTTTGCCGACGCTGCCAGTCCGTTGTGTTTACCCATCACTTTCTTAAGAGTTTCTTTGATCGGTTACATAGCCATAGGTCCATTTCATACTATAGTGTGATAGCATCTTGTTTTCTTCAAACTTGAATTTGAGTCGAATCATGTCTTTAAATTTCAAGGGTTACTGTCATAGATCTGTGTTTTCAATGCCGAAACAGGGTATGACCCTGGATGTCCCTTACTTTAGCCCAACCAGGGTACTGAGGACTTGGCAACCGATTTACGAGTAAATCGGCTGGCTTGCTGCCAGCCCGCCCGACCCATAAATTGAACTGGTTGGTATCAAGGGTCCTTAAATCCACTAAGATGAGCCAGATGTAAGTTAAATCAACCCAACATAATCACTTATGTTCACTTATTTGTTCAACTTCCACTTATGCCTGATTCTGAATATGACTAGTACCTGTTTCTTGTGTGATTAGAAAAAAAACGTGAAAAGTGAACACAGCTTGAGCTTCGTTGATTCTAGGTCCTAGGAACAACAACACCAGTGCGGCGAGACCAAGCGAGCTCTGCCTGAATCCAATGAGCGACGTGTTTGTCGGCCTTCCTTAGTGCGTGTTGCACCAACTTCACCTTTCCACTGCGAGTCTTCCATTCTTCCATTGCTCCTCAATTCAATCCACTGAATTGGGTCAATGTCTCACTGTCTCCCCGACATCGTCGACCTTGACCACCACAATGGGCGTACCTGGACTCTCTGAGGTGAGGGCTTCTGTAGCTTTTGAGACCTGAGAACTGATACCTTTCTAGATTTTGGAACCAGCTCGGCATGAGGAAAATCTGACCAAGTTTGCACTCACAGAAGGCTTTCAGTTGAACCCCCATGGTGACAACATGGTTCGCGTTGGCGTCGACGTTAGGTATGGACTTCTTTTCATGTATTCCCTCTCAGTTAATTGACACCTCCATGGTAGCGTGTGGATCTGTCAAGCACAAGCCGCCGCCCATTCTCAGGCTGGCGAAAATCCAGGCCTCCGCACCATTTTTTACCGGATTTGCCGCCTCCTCGCTAACTCCATCCTTCCCATCTTCGTCGAGGATGGACCTGGTCGTCCTCGTGTAAAGCGTGGAGTGAACATCAAAGCCGACAAGCTGCACTGGATGGAACACTATGTGGAGGATTTTGCGCAAGAAGCTGGGTGCCCCATATATCGTGTGCGTATAGCTTTAAATAGTAATTCTACTTGTCCTTCATTGATATACACTCTTGTTCTTAGGCCCCCGCAGAGGCAGAGGCAGAGCTGGCCCAGTTGACTGCACATGGTCTAATTGAGGCTGTCCTTACCACCGACTTCGATGTCTTCCTTTTTGGGGGCACATGCATGATCAAGCCATGAGTCCTAGTACCCAAATTGCTCTTGATTCACTTAAAATGTGTGCTTCTCAAGCCCGAACGTCAAAGCAGACAGCGACAACATTATATGCTACAACTCAACCGACATCCAGGACCTGGCATCTCTCAACTGTGCCAAGCTAATCTTCATCGTGATTTTGAGCAGCGGCGACTATGATCAGGTACGTTAACAATAACGGCAGATATATATTGTCTAACCAAATAGCGACATCCTTAGATTGGCCTCCCTGGATGTGGCTCCAAGATTGCTTATCAGCTGGCCCAGGGAGGCCTAGATGACTCGCTTTTTGAAGCCGCGAACAAACTCACTCGACACAAACTCCAAGACTTCCTTGATGACTGGCGCAAAAAGCTTGCAAACGAGCTACTCTACGACCCACATGGTGTAATGGGTATGAAGCACCCTGCACTAGCCCACAACATCCCCTCGGACTTCCCCAAGCTCGACGTCCTTCGGCTTTACACCCACCCACTTACCTCCTGGTCAGACTATGGCAACGGCCCTGATACGACATCATGGGGGCTCCACCAGCTGAACCTGGCCAATCTCGCAGTCTTGTGCGAGAAGTCATTTTCGTGGGGATCTGCTGGCGTCATCATTCCTCGTTTTTGCATGAATGTCTGGCCAGCAGCTGTGATGCGGATGCTCCTCAATGTAAGTTTGTTTTGCTTTCTCTTAGGTAGGATATATCTGACTAGTTCTACAGCCCATTGATACTCCTGGATCAGTTGATAGCCGCCTCACGCACTCTTCTCTGTTTCATATTGCATGGGAGAGATTGGTCCAGGTGGGCCAAATTCCGGTGCTATTGTGCCTGGCTTCAGCGTTGAGACAGCAACATTGGCTCTCATCCACGAGACCGTTTTGAACCTCAACGAGGACATGCGTAGGAAGGCCCTTCAGCAACACTGACCTCCCCAGTACTTTTGGATCCCATATACAATTCTCAAGGCTAGGGTTCCCAATCTAACCAATGAATATTATGCACGTACATGTAAGAAGAAATCAAAACCTTCCAGGCCACAACGGATTTACACGGACTCTGTACGTATTATGTTTATCAGTCAGCAAGACTCGTAGCTAATGTTTCTTGATAAGGATGACAGCGTCATCATGTCTATGGCTCCTGATGCTGGGGCATTGAGCACTCGTGCAAATCCTGCGACAGCCCCCAACTCCACGGCATTGGGCTCTCATATCGGTCCTCTGGCTCAGGACAACGAGCAAGTCATGTCCCCAATGCCTGTGGTGTCGAGATCTCATGCAGATCCTCCTCCCCTTGCTGGCTCGTCTCAGAATCTGCTTGTGGTTGATGAGGGAGATTCGGCACACACTCACGAAGATAATCAGGCAAGGCATGGATTGAAAAGGAAGAGGGTTATGCTCGATTTCATTGATTTAACATAGGCTTTTGAACACGTTGTAGCATAAAATGTATTTTTAGACTATTTAAGCTCAAATGTACTTGTACCTTCATGTCTCCTTGGATCAAGCTGGACCCACAGAATGAAAGGGTGCTTACTCAGGTAACTGGGGACATGGACGGTGAAGTTGTAAGCTGAAACATGGGGTACAGAATTGGTAGCACATCATTGAATTGACCTTACCTCATTCTCGTCCCACTTGACCATGGCTCCAAGGGCATGGACAAAAGCATCTGTGGCAGCTGCCAATATAGCATCTGCCGCGTCGAAGGTATCCACCTTGGCTGTAAAGCCAAAACCACCACGTGCATCAAAAAAGGCTCCAGTTGCTGCAGCATCACTTGCGACGCTCCAGAAGACCCGAAATGTGCAGGTGAAGGAAGTAACCTCAGTGAAAAATACTAGTAATGCCTATGAAGGACATCTGGATAGAGGAATCAGGTTTTTGGCAACTCTGGTTGAGGAGAGGCAAAACAACGGCGAGGACATCTGTAGCAAAGGGATCCCAACAGACGAGCTCAAAAAGGCATTTGCCAACCCCCCAAACCGTTACTCTGCAATGGCTGTCGAGATGTTCTTAGTCCAGAAGTGCTTTGTGCAGAGCCTCGGCAAAGATACTGCATACGGGATTCAGGGTGCCTTTGCGAAGTACTGGGATACCATGTGAGCATCAAGCTTATTGAATCAGATCAAAACCTGACCACTCAAAAAGGGATGGGGACAAGTACACTGGCGATTATCGATTGAATGACACGACGGGAGAGGTAACTGGGTGTCCGGGTCACGCACCTGCCATCATGGCTGTGAAGAGCTGTAGAAAAAGGACATGCAGCATCCCGTAACCATGCCAAGTTGATAATGATTGAAGAGATGAAAAAAATCATAGACTGGTCAGAGAAAATGTGTCCAGATGACCTGCTTACCTTGCCAGTCAAAGATCTCGAAACCTTGATGTTTCGTGCTGAACATGCGCTTATGAGAGCATTCATTAGCTCTGCATTTACGCTATGGACAAGGTATGCTTCACTCAAATTTGAATCTGTGAATTGTTTAGAACACTCGATTGGATTTATAGATGTTTCGAGTTACTTACACTCCAGGAGCAAGATATTAGAGAGGATTGCGTTGGGCCAGCGCCATACTATATTCCACACTTCAAAATCGTCCTCGAAAACAGGAAAGGATGGCAACATGCGAAAGGATATGAAAGTCCACGTACTGGTAAGCAAATCGGCAGTTGTGACTGAGAAAAAAACCAACTTCTGTCTCATAGGTAACATCTATGATATATATCATCAAGATGTTCACGCGATCGACATGAGTACACACCTTCGAAAATGGCGAGCGTACCTTCAAAAGCTCCAAGAGGTCTTTATTGTCCTCCACTGATTCCTGCGGAAATCCAGCGGAATCTGGGGCAATTCCCGGAATTCCGGAGAAATCAAATTTGGCACAGGGGCCTGCCAAATTTATTAAGTGATCCCGGGAAATCTAGAACGGAATTCCGATTCCGCTGATATGGTTCCTGGAATCAGATGGATGGAATGATGTCCGGAATGCATCTGGAATGGAATCCGTTGATGGAACGCTGACAACGCCCACACAAATCAAGCGTCGGCATTTGCCGAGACTCGATTTGGGCGTTGTCAACAACCCTCAACCCTATTCCTCTCTTGCTTCTCTTCCCCCACCATCGTTCACGTCACCCCCTACCCACTTTCACCAACGCCGACCACTATCCACCGTCGTCACCCACCGCTATCCACCTTCATCACCCACCGCCCTCAATGATGACTGCACGTTGCAACGCAGCCAGGACGACACGTGAGTGCCACGTCACACAACAAACGAGTGCCCATGCAATGAACCAAGCACCACCACCGTCTACGTTCGTCGCCCACCACCCAATGACAACTACACCACCCCAACACGAGGCCCACCACGTCAACGGACGCCCATGCCCACACCAACGATGACGTGCATGACAACGTCAACAGACACACACACCCACGCCAACAACGACGTGCACGACCATGTCGATGGACCACAGACAACGACGACACCAATGGATGATGATGACGCCAATGGATGACAACGACGCCAACGGATGACAATGCCAATGGCCGACGACAACAACGCCGCCAACAGACGACAACACCAACGGACGACATCGACAATGCCAACGGACGGCCACGTCAACGACGACGAGCGTGTCCCGCTCCACCTCCCTCCCCATTTCCATGTACCCCTTTCCTTTCTCCTCCCTCTTTCTCTGTCTGTCCCTCCTCATTTCCCTGTCCCTACTCCCTTCCCTGTCCCTACTCCCTTCCCCCTTCCTTTTCCCTGCCCCTACACCCTTCCCCCTTCCTTTTCCCTGCCCCTACACCCTTCCCCCTTCCTTTTCCCTGCCCCTACACCCTTCCCCCTTCCTTTTCCCTGCCCCTACACCCTTCCCCCTTCCTTTTCCCTGCCCCTACACCCTTCCCCCTTCCTTTTCCCTGCCCCTACACCCTTCCCCCTTCCTTTTCCCTGCCCCTACACCCTTCCCCCTACCTTTTCCCTCCCCCTTCCCTGCCCATCCCTTCCTTGCTCCACCCCCATTTATTTCTGCCCCCCTTCCTTTAACTTAGAACACTTCAATATATTAGAATTTGAATCTATATAACTGTTCTAAGAAGAAACTTGTGAGGTTATTATAGGACAAGATATAATAATAAATTGGCTGAATAAATTAGACTTACAATAAATATGATAGGCATGAAGTCACATGACTTTCAGAATAAGTCACATGATGTCTAAATTGAGTTACTGGATTCCCACTGGAATGAAATGGGAATAGAGTAGGAAAGCAGTCCTACCATATTCCCCCAGGACTGCAGCCAGAATGCCAGACTTTATCCAGACTACAGTGGGATTCCAGTGGGAATACATGGGGGAGAGTTAAGTACAGGAAACGCAAAGCAAAGTCTCAGGAGATTAATGGTAATGATGAAGACTAGGGTTTGGATGAACAACATGCAGAATCTAATGTCTCTGAATCTGATTGAAATAAATAAACATGTAGTAGTAAGAAACTAGTCATATGCCTTATGCCCTTGTTTAGTAAAAGATTTAGTGCTACAATTCTATTTGTCTGACCTAAAGAAGGAGATTCAGGGTCCAAAATTAATGAACCAGAAGTCCTAGTGTTCAATTTCTGTTGATTCCAGTTGGATTCCTGTTGATTCCAGCCAGAATCCTGCAGAATTCCTGGAATCCTACTGGAATTCCAGGATTCCGGTAGGAATCAGTGGAGGAATGGAAAGTATTGAGCTCCAACCTAACCACAAAGTTGAAGGCGACGACTACATATTCCCATACATCGCCCCAAATGGACTGATTCATCCTAAACGTGACATGAGCTACGACATGCTGCAAGGATTGCTTACCAAGTTTGCAGCAGCAGCTGGGCTGAAAAAACATTACACCACACATTGCTTTCGTCGTGGTGGCGTGCAGTACAGGTTTATGTATGCGCCTATTGGAATGCGGTGGCCACTAAGCTGGATCCGATGGTGGGGTGGATGGGCAATTGGAGAGCATGTAAGTCATCTCATTACTGGAGGTCTAAGAGCTTCATTTCTCACCGAAATGTCACTGTCAATGTCAAGGTTGACACATTGATGAAGTATTTGATGGATTCCCTACAGAGCTTTGAGGCGGGGCATGGAAACGCCTTGCACCCAATTCCCATTGGTGCAGACCAGAGCTTCATGGGAGATCACATCGCTGTGGCACCTGTATCTGGTCAGGAGGTCCAAGAGTTCAAGGGAGGGATTGACCACAAGATCGACGAGCTTGTGAAAGTGATCACAGCAACGCTCTCCCATACCTGTCACTCAGACACGGTCACCTGCACACTGGAAACGACTCTGGATCCATCGAACCCATCCATTGGACCCATGCATGTGTCACACACCCAATCGCGAGCCATATCAAGGGCTGCATCAGCTCTGTATATCTTGCCTGATAGCCCAA